CGGCTTGCGCATGGGCGCCGTCATTGCGGCCGGCGCAGCCGAAGGAGGACGCATGTCCGAGCTGCAGCCGTCCGGATCCACCCGGCCACGCCGCCTCGCGGAGGAGCGACGCTTGGTCGGCTTGGCCTCAGCGGCGGGAGTGTGCTCGACCGCGGGAGGAGCGGCGGAGCCCGCTGCCGCCTTGCCGGCCACGGAGGGGAGAGCCAGCGCGAGCTGCTCGACCAACGCAGCGCAGCGCTCCTCAAATAGGTCGTCGTGTGCAGCGGCGCCGGAAGCGAGAGGGAGTGAGCGCCGGCCCGACGGCCGTTGCAGCGTGCGAAGGCCGGTGCGTAGCGTTGCCGGGACCCCAGGCGGCGGCGGCGGGGTGGGAGGCGGCGGCGGCGGGCACATCGGCGCGTCGACTGCTCGCCTGGGTGGGTCCGGCCCGCCGACCGAGGCTGCAGCGGCTATGGGGTCTGCAGCCCGGTCGCCGTTGGCCTCCGCCTCCACCGCAGACCGCGAGATGAGGAAGACCTCGGACTCGTTGGGCAAGGCGTAGTCGGAGAGGAGCAGCTCCGGCCTCAGCAGCTGCCCGACGTGCCTCGAGAAGAGCGCCCCGTTGGCGTTGGGCTCGACTCCCAGCGACTGCTCTGCGACCCTGCACATCTCAGAGACGGTGCAACCGTCTTCAGGCTCCACCCCGTGCACGCAGCCGCCACACAGGTCGCGGAGGGTGAGCCGGCGGCGCATCGGTGGCGGCTGTGCGATTGCAAGCAGGCGCTCTCTCCCATCAGGCAGCGCATCTGCGACTGCAGTGTCGTCCACCAGCCTCTGCCCTCGACAGAGAAGCGTGAGCTCGCTGGCGGGCTCGCCCGTGGCGAGAGCGGCAGCTGCGCGAAGCTCGCGCACGGAGGCGGACCGGTCGACGGTCACCGAGTGCGTGACGCCGCCGAGGCGGACCTCGAAGCAGCGACCCCCTTTCCGCATTTTTCAACCCCGCAAGAAGGTTTTTGGATTTTGACGAACGCGCGAAAAGAGAGAAACGCGGCCCGGTTTCTTCCTTCCCGTAACTACCAGCGCTTGAACAGCGCTTCATTCGAATGGCGTTCGCCTCGGACGGCCTGCCGCCGCCGGCGCACAACGCTGCCGCTGCCGAGGGCGCGGCGCGCGGCCGCGACGGCGCGCAAGCGGCCGATGATGGCCAGAGACCCGGCGTCAAGCGCCGACTCGACGGCGAGCTCGCGAGCGCGCGCGTCGGCGTCGACGACGCCAAAGGAGGCGACACCATTATGGTGGACGCCACGCACATGGCCGCTGCGGCGGCCGCCGGCACCGACAGCACCACGAAGCGCCTGCTGCACGTCGCGCTCGCGGCGCGCGACGGCACGCACATCCCTGACATCAAAAACAAGACGGCGCTCGTCACCGAGATACGCCAACTTGTCGAGAAGACACCAGGCTGCGAGGCGCAGCCGGCGAGCGCGATCAGCGTGCCCATCATCGGCACGTCGCGGGCCGTCTGCGTCGCCTTCAGCGGCGAGAGCGAGGCACGAGCCTTCCTCGAGCACCACGCCGGCGGTGGCGCCATACAGCTCCCAGCTCCGGATGACGTCACCATCCACTTCGTCGCTCTCGACGCCTCCGAGTGGGGCAGGCAGGCGGAGGCGCGCGAGCTCAAGGCGGCGACAGAGTCCGACGGCCTCCTCGCCATCCGCACGCGCGGCGCCATCAACACGGCCGCCCAGATCGAGCACTTCACTCCTCTGCTCGAGAAGCACTTCGGCAACGTCGTCTCCGTCCAGGAGGAATACACTCTTTCCTCGGCATCAAGTC